GTTTCTTATGTATATAAGATTGTTTGCAAGTCGTTAGTCGAGGTTCTAACTTCGCAACAAACGGGTCACTCCGTTGCTCCGTTAACAGATCAGTATCCGGCAAAATCTAAAAGAAACAGAACTGTATTACTTTGCTGAACGATACTTTCCTAACTTGTTTTTGGACTGTCTCGTCTTATACTTTTTTCGGCCGTGGACACATGGCAGTCAATTTGCATTTATGACAGATGTACTATGGAAAAAGGACTTTTACCCATGAAATCGGGCGTATTGTGCATATAAGACTTGACATATATTTTTAGGAGCAATCGAAACTCAGTGGGTGATATGATCAGCACCACATCGGTCACGTTTACTTCCCGCGACTTTACCCGGTACTGATTTAAGGCTGGGTGGACCTGGAAGCCATGGTAGTTTTTGAAAACAGCCCGGTTTTGTCAAGACCTGAACACATGACCAGTATTTCCAAGCCCTTTTTGTGTCATGCCCTACCTAAGCCTTTCTAAATTTCTTATACCCCCAAGCGATCACATTGCCCTTGTAACAATTCAATTGCCCCCCCCCCCCTGGGGCGTGGGCTCCACCTTTAGAAACACTGGTCTAGCCACTACAGCATGGCGGCTTCCCTATGACAGATGTACAAGACTATTTTTTTCCAGTCCGCAACTACTTTCCCATTAAGACAGTCAAATGATGCCATATCCAGAACGAGTGCGGTAAATGAAGACTGTATCCAGTCGTCCTTGTATGTGGGCAGGGGTTCATTGCGTGCATTTACGCCAATAAAGAAGATGGCCAGGCTAAATTAGACACGATAAACACAGACATCTATTATTATTTTTCACACGATTTTGTTTATTTTTGTCTCTGGCGCCCATCCCATCTGTCACGATGTTTATGTGTCTGCCAATATCTTCTAATAGCTGTTCATCGCCAGAATGAACTGAGACATCTGTTGCGTGTCTGCAGTGTTCCTCTACCTTTTTTTAATATCATGGAAAGATATAAAACCGAACGAAAAGTATATCAGTGAGCTTCACTATTTAACACACACAACCGAAACGTGAACGTTGCGGCTATGGAGCTTTCTTCAGCACATACATAGATTAGACAACACTATACAAATACACAATAAAACTTATCTTCGTATCTTGTGGCAGCCAGGTCGATGTCAAGACAATTGTCTAGCGCTGCACGCGGGGCCGAGAAAATTGATATCCGGGGATATGCCAGGGGCCGTCGCTCGAGGATAAGAGGAAACTGTGTAGGCAATTCAGCCCCCTACGATTTAGATAAAGCTGTGTTGGCAGTTTAGTCCAGTAGGTGCCAGAGTTTTCAAGGTCTATATAAGGTGTGCATATTTTTTAACACCCGTGGCCCTTCCAGTCATTGGAAATTCCTTCACGGTCCACCTAACAACTAACCAAACGCGAAACAAACACAACTGTAGCTAGCGGTTTATTGGTTAAATCCGGACTCAGAAAATTCATCTAATGCGACATCTGCTGCTGCTTAAAGGTTAACGATACGCGAAGCGATACAATAATGTCCATTCGTTTACTTCGTTTGGTGTTAGTTTTTCCCCACAGATGGAAAGCCCTTGAGTTGTTAATCCCACACACTGAAAGAAAGAGAAGCCCCTGCTTGGCCTCGTTTACATTATTAAGCAGAATTTTCTGGCGACCAACAGGAAATTTTTTCTTGACCCACCAATGAGCCGCGGCCCACGCATTGAAGAACACTGATCTAGTGGATCCAGTACGAGAAACTGCCGACGCAACCTTGATATAAGGGACCCAGTTTGAGAAACTGCCCACACAACGCTGGTCTACGGGATTCAGTATCAAAAACTGACCAAACACAGCTGATCTAGGGGATTCAGTAGGAGAAATTGACCACGCAACGTTGATCTAGGCGACACAGCATGAGAAACTTATCACACAGCCTTGGTCTAAGGGACCCAGTATGAGAAATCGCCCACACAACCCTGGTCTATGCGACCCAGTATGAGAGATTGCCCACACAACCCTGGTCTGTGCGACCCAGTATAAGAAATTGCTCATACAGCCCTGGTATAGGAGACCCAGTATGAGAGACTGCCCACACAACCCTGGTCTATGCGACCCAGTATGAGAAATTGCCCACACAACGAAAGATATTGTATGTGGTGGCCGGTGTAATAAATGGGTAATAATTAGTCTTGTGATTTTAGCGATCTTTATAACTCTCTCTCTCTCTCTCTCTCTCTCTCTCTCTCTCTCTCTCTCTCTCTCTCTCTCTCTCTCTCTCTCTCTCTCTCTCTCTCTCTCTCTCTCCCTCCCTCCCTCCTCCCCCTCTCTCTCTCTCTCTCTCTCTCTCTCTCTCTCTCTCTCTCTCTCTCTCTCTCCCTCCCTCCCTCCCTCCCTCTATCTCTCTCTCTCTATCACTCTTGCTTTCTCTCTCTTTCTCTCTGTGTGTTTCTGTGTTACACTCGCTCACATATATAGGCACACAGCTGCGTCAACAAAAGCAGCTATTTAAACAAAGAAGACGCAAACAGTAGTTTATTGCCTGACATTTTTGAAGGTATTTCATTATTAGAATTAAACCAGAAAAAGAAAATAAATTAAACCGTTATAACGTCTTCTCTATATGTGTCTCTTTTGTTTATTCTAATTTACAAGAGGATTAAATTTCCGTGCATTTTTGAAAAACATATAGACAGTTATGTCAGTTTAAGCGTGGTGTAATATGTTAACGCAAGCACCTAGTCTCAGAGATATTATTTGTTGGTCACGAGTTCACTATTGAGAACCACTGATATGGTGCAATCGGAAACAGTTGAAAAGCGTGATTACTATGTTTTTTTCTAAATGACCGACTTTTTGCACCCATCCAGGAAGTACTGAATCTGTTTAATGGGTCACTCTCCGAAATGGTATACGAGAAATATTTGAGCGAAGATGACGTCTGTGATATTTCCTTTCTTTGAACATATTTATTTAACAAATGGGATAACTAATTGTGGTATTTTCCCCCATCGTTGGTTGAGAATAGAAAATATTCAGTGTTTCTTTTATCTCTTACAATTATAAAAAAAAAAATTGTCAGTGTTTCTTGTATCTCTTACGATTATTAGAAAATTATCAGTGTTTCTTGTTTCTCTTACGATTATAAGAAAATAGTCTTTCTTGTATCTCTTACGATTATAATAAAATTATCAGTGTTTCTTGTTTCTCTTATGATTATAAGAAAATAGTCAGTGTTTTTTGTATCTTTTCAGATTATTATAAAAAATCCAGTGTTTCTTATATCTCTTACGATTATAAGAAAATAGTGTTTCTTGTATCTCCGACGATTGTTAAAAAAAAGTGTCTAAGTGTTTCTTGTATCTCTTACGATTATAAGCAAATTTTAAGCATCTCTCATGTCTCTGCGAAAGTGTCCCTTGTATCTCATATGATTAAAAGAAAATTATCAGTGTTTCTTGTGTCTTACTGTCAGTGAAATTTTAATAATTGGCTTAGATATTTAACATATAGCTAGTGACTGGCTCATAAACGCTATCTTTCTCTTCTTCTGCCTTTCCAACCTCTAATGGAGCACAGGCCCTCACCCAACTCATGCCAGGTCTTTCTATCCTGTCGCATGCAACTCTCTCCGTGACCTCCCCATTCTTTTATCTTCAATATCTAGCTCACTTCTACATGTGTATTTTGGTCTTTCTTTATTTCTGTTCTTGTGTGGGTTTCAGTGCGAAAACATTCTAGTTAAATTGTTCTCAGGTTTTCTCAGCGTGTGTCCTATCCAACTCCAACGTCTTTTCTTTACCTCTAGGTCCACTGGAACTTGTTAAGTTCTCTCCCAAAACGCTATAATTTCTCATAAACGTCTATCGTCTTTATCTTGGCGTTTACTTGCATATGCTCAGGAAAGACTATCAGGTTGACTGCATCAATGAACTGTTTTGCCAGTTGTAGGTCCTCCATGGTTTCTCACAGCGTGCTCTTGAGGCCAGGTTTCACTTCACAGTTGAGTCAACTGAAATACTTCGGCCACATTAAGCGTTGTAAGGGTTTGGAGAGAACAGTGGTGGAAGGTATATATCCCCGAAGAACCTGCAAGCGTTGATCGGGATCACGTGGGACACGATGTCAAGGACACTTTTGCATGATAACAGCTCGCAGGGTGAGGAAGTCGACAAGGAACCCAATGGCTTTCTGACATGCTGTTTCGACAGCGAAGCTCTATAATTGACCCCCTGCTCATCATCATCATCACCATCAAATAGCAGGTCCTTGGCAGAACGGCGCTCTACCTATCACGGTCTGCATAAAACAAGCTAGGCCTCCCGCCAGCTCTCCAGCCTCGTTCACAGGGAAATTACATAAGAAATAAAGGCGGCCGGCATGATGTTGACCACATCACCAATCGTGTGCCGATCGATTAAAAAAATATAAGTCCAGCACTGTATGCTCGATATGCGAAAGGCGTGGAAAAAATGTTTTAATGATTGTTTTGGGAGCCCCCCCCCCCCCCCGGGTAGCGCCTAGACGCTTTCATCGGGCTCAAAGATTGTAGGTTTAAATCCGCATCGAGCCGGATTTTGATCAAAAAGGTCACCTGTCTCCCAGGTCGAACCACACCATGAATGGGTACCAGGTAAAGTCATGGGAAGTAAAAACGGCCGGTGTGCTGTTGACCACATCACCCACCAAGAGCCGACTGGTCTGTAAAACTTTAAATCTAGCACTCTAATGCCCGATGTGCCAACAACATGAAAAGGACCCTTCGTTTAAAAAACAAACACATTTCTGATTTAAGAATTGACATCATAGCACGCAGGGCATATTTAGAGATGCCCCGTCCTCTGCAGAAAATGTCTCTGGGTATAAGATGCTAACTGTTCTCGTGGCATACTGACAATACTCTCGCGGGTCTCTTCCTTTCATCCTATCTGATCGACTGGGATGTTAATGACTGTATACTAACCTGAATCCATTTCTCTTGTTTGTAAACAGTTCTCCCTGAAGGCGAGATGCCACCCAGTGGAAGCCAGTACCAAGCAACTGTAGCGGACCGGATGAGTTTCCTTACAAGTCAAGACAGTAGTGACTACCAGTCCCTGGAGGCGGGCGGGGAGCTCGGGGGAGGCTCGGATGCTAAACGTAGGAAAGGCAGCGGCGTCGAGGGCAAGAGTATTGAGGAGGAGCTGTGTCGTATCTGCGGTGACAGGGCTTCAGGCTATCACTATAACGCCCTCAGCTGTGAGGGCTGCAAAGGTTGGTGTCATCAAAGTTGATCTTTTTATTATTGATGGATGTTGTTTAACGCATTCTATACCACTGGTTTTTTTCTTTCCTGTTTAATTGTTGCATATTGTTAACTCATGTTCTACCGCACCGAAGTTAAAAAAGAAATGAGGTTGGCCCCCAGGCCGACCCAGCAATGGGTACCAGGAGAGTCCTGGGAAATCAGTGTAATGGTGACCACATCAACCACCAAGTGCCGATTGGTCAATAAAATATAGGTCAAGCCCTGTATTCCTTGGTGGTGCAGATAGGGTTCTTTACCCACTTAATTCTCTGCCACGTTTTCTTTATTTTCAATTGTTGTTGAATGTGTTACTCATTCTAACCCTGTTTGTGTGTGCATGCTTGAGTGTGAGTGTGGTTTTTTTTCCTGTTTGTTATTGTTGGATGTGGTTTAACTCATTATCTACCCTGTTTGTGTACGTGTGGGTGGGTGGGCTGTGTGTGTGTGGTTTTTCGTTTGCTTGTTATTGCTGGATGTGGATTAACTCATTATCTGCCCTGTTCGAGTATGTGTGTGTATGTTTGTGTATGGTTTTTTTTCCTGTTTGTTATTGTTGTATGTGGTTTAACTCATTCTCTGCCTTGTGCGTGCGTGTGTGTGTAGGGATTGGGGGGGGGGGGGGGGGGGGGGGGGGGTCCTGTTTGTTTTTGCTATATGTTGTTTCACTTAATCTCTGTCCTGATTGTTTTTGCTATATGTTGTTTAACTTATTCTCTGTCCTGTTTGTGTGTATGTGATTTTTTTCCTGTTTGTTATTGCTGGATGTGGTTTAACTCATTCTATGTTTTTGTGTTTTTCTTGTCAGAGGTAGAAAGTTTGACCTGTTTTCAACTAATTTCATTTTTGTAGTTGTATATGCTTTACCTCAGTATCTTATAATCCATGTCATGTAAAGTTATTGTTTATGTCAGCAGCCTTCTGTCTTCCATGTCATGATGCCAAACTATCCATTGGCATCTCCCTTTATCTTTCTATGCCTCTCTTCCCTGTAACTTTCCTGTTGTGCTCTAGTTTCACTATTCTCATGACATGCTTAGAGAGTGTAGAATGTTTTGTTCTGACCGATATTATCAGCACTCATGTGAAAGATGAGTGTTTGGAAGGGCCGAATATAGACGGGCCTGCATGCCCAATTTATGACCCTTTGAAAATAAACTTTGTTGGTTCGTCTCTTTTTGTTCTCTGCAGAATCTGTCCCAAAAACAGTAACTGGAAATGAGTGCTTTTTACAAATCACATGTTCTTCCATGAAAAGATGCCAACACTCTTGGTCTCCCACTGCCTGCTGTTCCCTCCAGCTTTCTTGTTGTTACGACAGACATTAGTTTCCACTGTCTCACATTGTAAAGAAGTAAAGATCACTTTTCATGCCTTTAGGCCTATCGGGTATATGGGAAGAGCGCCCATATTTATACAGACCATCGGCACTAGGTGGGTAATGTGGTCAGCATTACACCGGGCCGTCTTTGCTTCCCCAGGACAGCCATCCTGGTACCCATTTTAGGCTGGGCCGACCTGCGATGCCCCATACCATGATAAAAATCCACGCAACGCTTAAGCCATGGACGCTGCTTGTCTCACATTGTGCCCAAAGAATTTATTTTTTATTTTTTATGTGGACGTCCAGTCCTATTTGTTTATTAATTTCTTTCAAGAAACAGTGGCTGGTTATATTTGTGGTCTAGTTTATTTGCGCCACTTGTATGGCTAAGATTGTGTTATGTGTGCCAAGTCTCTGGTTTTATGTTCCTACCCTAATAGCTAGACCACTCCTTCTTGTCTTTGTCCGAGTGTGTACTTCTTATCCTTATGTTCTGATGTTTTTCCTCATGGGTCGTCCTCCATCCGATTCATTCTCGTTATTTTTTTGCCCTTATGTCTTCAGGTGTGTTACCCAACCTGTTTCCTTCTAGTTAGGCCACACTAGTCTGAAACTATTCTTTACGTAATGTCTTTTTGGGACCACCATTTAAAGGTTTAAAATGTTGAGTATTTTACTTTGCCACAAGTACTGACAACGATTGCTTGAAAGAAGCTAATGAAAGTAGATCTCTATATACAACAATAAGAAAGAGACAAACACTGTTCTTTGGCCACATAATGAGAAGAGAGACATTGGAGAACATTGTGACAACTGGAAAGATCAGTGGAAAAAGGGGCAGAGGCAGACCAAGAGAGATGATGCTGGATGGGCTGAAATGATGGCATGGAGGGATATGATCAGGAGAGCTGTTCCAGGCAACCAGGGATCGTGATCTGTGGGGACGCCTGAGCGCCTATGCCAGTTGGCAAGGCACATGATGATGATGATGATGATGACAAGTACTGAAAACAATTTTTGAGTTTGGATAGATCCGAAATTGTGAAAATAATTCATGTTTGATCATAGCTATTTTATAGATGCCTTGGCTCTCATTCCCATACCTCTGTCTTTAACTCTTTGAGTCCCAAAGAATGCATCATACGTTCATAGGTTCCTACCTAGAAGCCCAATGAACGCATGATACGCCGATTTTATTACTTTCTTTACTACCCACTGGGCCTGTGATGCTAAACCCCCTGGGACTCAAAGAGTTAAGCACTGAAGCCTTGGTGGAGAGATGGAAAGGTGCCAACAGTTAGTCATATTTGTGAATATGTTTTTAAATTGATTTGCTTCCTTTTTTTTTTTGTATCCAGGATTTTTTAGACGCAGCATCACAAAAACTGCAGCCTATGTGTGCAAGTATGGTGGAAATTGTGAGATGGATATGTGGATGCGTCGCAAGTGTCAGGCTTGCCGGTTGCGGAGATGCCGCGAGGTTGGCATGAAAGAAGAATGTGAGTAGCTTCCCCTTCTTCTGCTCTTTGTCCCCTAATGAAATATACGCTCTCAACTAACTCATGCCAGGTTGTCTCATTCTTTGCTGGAGTGTGTAGCTCACCAGGTGTCTTTCCTGCCTTTTTCAACTTCTCTGTCTTGTTCCCCTTCTATATGTGGTTGTTTAGCCCAACTTTATTTCTGTGCACAAGTCGGTTCCAATTTAAAGCCCTTCTAGTTGTGATGCTCTCAGGTTTTCTCAGTATGTGTTCTATACAACAATAGCATCTTTTCTTCACCTCTTGATTTACTTTAATTCATTTAGTTCTCTCCAGAGCTAGCATTAGTGGTTTTATTATAGCATTTAATTCCTTGTTTGTAATTTATTAGCAACTGTTTTAGTTGTTTTTCATGTTACTGCTGCAAATAGCAATACTGATTTGACATTAGAGTTAACATTTTGAAGTTTACTATTAGTTTCGATTTCAACAAATTTCCTAATTCTGTGAAAACTCCTCTTGCCTTTAGTATTCTTATTTTACTATCTCTAACAGTTCCCCTATGTTTATCTAAAATGAGTAGCTCATTAGAAAACAGATTTTTGTTATTGTTGCCATGCCCACAATAGAGGCTGGACGGGGTGAGCATGTGAATCCCCTGCTGCCTTTAGAAATATTAATTGAAAATATTACGTTTTGAAGCTCTGACCTGTCTAATGATACAATCAGACAGATTGTGGGAACTACACCTTGTACTAGAGTTATCGAGAAACAGCAGATCAAATGGTTTGTCCATCTTGTTAGAAGGAAATAACATCAAATACTATTATTGGCATTACATCTCTGAAGATTAGCTGCGAGAGCAAGAGGATGGCCAGGAAACTATGCATTGACAACATTAAAGAGATTTTACGCCTTCACATCATTACAGTAGTCAGTGCCAGCCAGCATGCACTGGATGGCAAATTATTCTTCCCCATGATGCTTAACGGCAAATTTTTTTTTAAAATGATGATGATGATAACCTGTCCCATGGTGAGACTCTTCTAACATTGCCCAAAAGCCACAAGAAAAAGTCTTTTGACTCTTTTTGTCCTTAGCCAAGCAACCATTCATTTGTTGGTAACTCATTACTAGAAAGGTTTCTTTTTCTTTCCGTATCTCATTTTGTTGTTAAATTACCCTGTCCTAGCAATAGTGTTTTGTTCACTGTGCTCTTTAGTAAAGTTATTACATGATCTCCTTCAGATGTAGTGTTAATTAATTTAAAATAACTTCGTCTTCGGGCAGAATAATTTTAAATAACAACAACATGTACCGAAAGAGGTAAAAATCAGGAAAAATAAAATGTAATTATTATCAGTAATGTCAGACAGCAACTTAGATTAAAATATTGAGAGATACCTTGTCACCAGGAGAGATTTGACAGGTTTCTGTGACCTAGAGGAAGTAATCAAGTCTCTTGTGACCTAGACAAGCTGGCAGATTCTGTGACCTAGTCTTCTTGTCCAGCATTGGGTGTCACAGCACAAATGATGAAGAATAAGCTCTGAAGAGTTAATAAATGTGGTGTCTAGATTTTTTTTTTTTAAGAATATTCTAGAACTTGGAAAATTGTTGTCAACAATCTTTAGCTTGGATTATCAGGTTTCAGATGTCATAAAGTACAGCTTTCAAATGTCAGGTTAATAAAGTGGTCTGGGAAAAGTAGCATCCAAATGTCAAATCTAATATGAGCAGAGGTTCCCTGTTAGCTAAGACCTGCAGCCTTCTGTTTCGAAAATCTAAAATGGACTGCATACTTTAAATCACCAAAGTGAGGCACTTTTTTTTTTTTTTTTTAAATTTGCAACTATTAGAATCGTAAAAATTATTGCATTTTGACATTGGGGATTTTTTTGCAAATGATTTCCTGGACCCTTAAATTTGTTTGGCTGAAGAGTTGTACATGTGATGTTCAATCACAGCCAAAAGGTGGGCACATGAATCCTGTCACAAGCGAGAGTTATGGACATGAGGTTCAGTCACAGCCAGGAGCTGTGCATGAGAGGTCCAGTCACAGCCATGAGACGGGCATACATGGTTAAGCCACAGCCAAGAGCTGTCCCCACATGGTCTGTCGCAGTCAAGAGCTTGGTACGCAAGGTTTAGTCACAGCCAGTAGCTGTGCACACCAGTTCCAGTCACAGCCGAGAGCTGGGCACAAGGTCCAGTCACAGCCAAAAGCTGTCTCTACATGGTCCAGTCAAAGTCAAGAGCTCAGCACACAAGGTCTTGTCACAGCCAGTAGATATGCACACAAGGTCTTGTCACAGCCAAGAGCTGTCATTACATGGTCTAGTCACAGCCAAGAGCTGTCTATACATGGTCTAGTCACAGCCAAGAGCTGTCCCCACATGGTCTGTTACAGTCAAGAGCTTGGTACACAAGGTTTAGTCACAGCCAGTAGCTGTGCACACCAGTTCCAGTCACAGCCGAGAGCTGGGCACAAGGTCCAGTCACAGCCAAAAGCTGTCTCTACATGGTCCAGTCACAGTCAAGAGTTCAGCACACAAGGTCTTGTCACAGCCAGTAGATATGCACACAAGGTCTTGTCACAGCCAGTAGATATGCACACAAGGTCTTGTCACAGCCAAGTGCTGTCTTTACATGGTCTAGTCTCAGCCAAGAGCTGTCTATACATGGTCTAGTCACAGCCAAGAGCTGTCTATACATGGTCTAGTCACAGCCAAGAGCTGTCTATACATGGTCTAGTCACAGCCAAGAGCTGTCTATACATGGTCTAGTCACAGCCAAGAGCTGTCTATACATGGTCTAGTCACAGCCAAGAGCTGTCTATACATGGTCTAGTCACAGCCAAGAGCTGTCTATACATGGTCTAGTCACAGCCAAGAGCTGTCTATACATGGTATAGTCACAGTCAATAGCAGTGCACACATGGTCCAGTCAGGCAATGACTTTCCATTCACACTCATTGTTCATTACTGGATCATCTTAATTTCACATTGGGTATACCCAGAGCACTTAAATTTTCTCCTAGACATGTTTCTTCATGTGTTTGTGTTACGACTTCTGTTCTGTATTGGTTTAATGTATTAACTGGGAGCTCTTCCATGATTTTAATATCACACTGCTTTGATTGATTTGACTTCATATCTAATATTGATTTCACATGTGAGTCAAAAAGAAATCAGTATCCTCATGTCTGACATCTTCAGCTCAGATAGCATTAATTTTTCCCCTTACTGTCCACTGAAGATACATTTATTCAGCTAATACTATTATTCCTTGAGAGTCCGGCCCAAACTAAATTATATGTACAGCAATAGTTAACTAATGCAGTTAGATGTATATTCAAAGATGACTGCGAATAGACAAGAAGTCTCATGGGTAAGCTGTGCATAATCTCACTCTCGAGGGACATTTGAAAGAGTAGACGTTGAGGCCTCTTTCCTGAATAAAAGAGAGAACATTTACATGTGATTAAATCATCATCAGTCAGCAGGTCCTTCTCAGAATGTTGCCCTTTTCACAGCACTCCTGAAAGTCTCTTTCTCTGGCCAGTTATCCAGCCCTATATATTTGCATAGCTAATACACCTTCATTGTCTTGTATCACCTTCGCGGACGTCGACCTCTGCTTCATTTTCCAGAAACAACATCCTCCGTCACCGTTGTCAGCAGGCCACTATGATGCTTTACATGGCCAGAATACCTCAGCTTTTGGGACTAGATGCTTTACATGGCCAGAATACCTCAGCTTTTGGGATAGGATGCTGTGATTAAATATGTCTTGTTTTTTTAAGATATATTCTGTCTAATGGAAGTAAACCTCATAGAAAGGCATGCTGAATTAGGACAAACCAATCTCTGATTTAGCGAGGTGTACAACTTGGTTTTAATATACACTTACTGAAAGGGGCATGGAGATGATGAAGACAAAGAAGAAGAACAAGAGCTTCAATACCTGAAGAAACAGAGGAGCAAGAGCTTTAATACCTGACAACATAGAATTGATAAATTTATCATTGTCTTCTTCAGCATTCTGATCCTTTGAGATTCATTGCTACTGATATCACCTGCTATCATCCACCTCCATTCATCTGTGGAACTGGCCTGGTTTTTTTTTCAGTTGCTGACTGCAGATGTTTGTAGGTCTGCCTGTATATTATCTCTGCACCATCTTTTTGGTATACTTCATGGTCTTTTTCCATTTAACTCTTTTGTCAATGCAGTTTTTGTCTGTATCGGCAGTAATTTTCTCTGTATGCCTCGTGATACCAGTAATTAGTGGTGATTTAAACAAATTATTAATTTTATTGTTGCTTATCACTAACTATTCTATGCTAGAATTGGTGGTGTACAGACTGTTTCATATGTAATTTATATAGATTTTTTTTTAAACTGCATATTTTCTTCCTAGGCTTACTGTCAGATGATCAATGTAAGGCTAGAGATGCCAGACGCAAGGCCAAGCAGAAGTATGTCCCCAAGAAAGAAGTACACAGCCCTGACAGCTATGAGCACAGCTCAGATGCAGAATCCGTCTTTTTGGATTCTCATCTAGAGGTTAAGAATCCCTTCCTGTCCTTTTCTTCCTCTGTATCCACCTCAACTGGGATTGGATCCCCATGCTCTCTGTCGGAGGACTTCCTTGACCCATTGAGGAAGCTGACCACAGAACAGAAGGAGCTGGTGGAGACATTGGTTTCCTTACAAGAAAAATATGAGTTTGCTGATCAGCAGAGCTATGAGGAGACTTTGGTAAGAAATCTTTCTCATGCTTTATAAGGGGATGTTGTTTTTTTTCTTCCTTCAATTGCTTGGTCTGAAATAGGCATCAATAATGATGATTTTTCAACTGTCTCTGTCATCTGATATTTTTTATTTTATTTTTGCGTTCACCAGCTATAAACTCTGGTGGAAAGTTCTGATTGTTCATCCACTTCTGGACTGCAGTCCTGTTCCAAAACCTAAGTGTTGCGCGTGCATCCATTTGATATATCTGACACATTTGTGTGCAGACTGTTGGTTTCTTGCTTCTCAGGCAGATGCACTCTGACTTTGAAGGAAGCTCTCAGTTAGTCAACTCTTGCGACATGCTTTTGAGTAGGCAGTGGGTCTGCTCTTGTTTTCCTTATAATAGGGCCCTGGAACTCACACAGGGGGAACAATGTTGTTTAAATTATTATTTATCCCTGCATGGATTGCAGAGCTCTATTTGGGGATTGGGAGGGGGGGGGGGGTGGGGGGTGGGGGGGGGGGGGGGGGGGGGGGGGGGGGGGGGGGGGGGTGGAATTGCTGCCTGAGAAATCTGTCATAAAAGTGGACTAATAAAGTTTGTTGGAAACAGATGTGCTGAGCCAAAAGGTGCAGAAACGCACCCTAACTGTAAACACAGCACAAGGTTTCAACCGCCCTTTTAACTCGTTCAGTCCTAAACAACGCATCACTTTTGAGTGTATTTACTCGCATGCACCAGTCAGAATATGTTTCTGCTCAAACGTGTTATAGTTGGACACGGCATAGTAAAAGACCTAACCACACACAAGTCGCCCACAAGTGCTCTGTATTTAGCTCCTGTGGATGTAGTAAACCCATCATCTAGTCATCTCCTTGTAAGATGCAATTTTTCATTATTTGAAGTCCTACTTTGGTTCTTGCCAGGGGCCGCAATATAGCCTGGCCATAAATATGGTCTAATGGCTGAACGCGGTTTCTGGGACCTCTGAACCTCATCCACATGGTGGCACTTTGTGTTATCGGATGTTTATCGCTTGTGTGATGTCCTAGTGGGGTAAAAGAAGTTAGTTAGCTAGTTAGGAGTATACTTATGGGTCTGCAGCTGACAGTAGTTACTGCCTTATGTGTGCATCACCTATGACTTTCTGGCACTGAAAGAGTTAATGGCAAATGCAGAATGAGAAAAAATAATTATTTGTTGCCCAGTTGTTTAAGGTTTCTGCATAAATCTAAATGTTAATAAAGTAACAGAAAATACATCGATCAGCACTCATAGAAAGAAGTAACATAAATCTCTTAAAGCTTTCTACTGAAATCTATCTCTGCCTTCCTGTGCCTTTCTTGTCTGGTTATTTCCCATTTAAATATAATTTCTTTATTTTTCTTCTCTTGTGAGTTTGTCCCCCCTTAGGCAGATTCACTCCAACTTTAAAGGAAACACCCCTAATTAGTTGCCACTTATGACATGCTTATTGGGGGCAGTGGGTCTCTCTCTCTCTCTCTCTCTCTCTCTCTCTCTCTCTCTCTCTCTCTCTCTCTCTCTCTCTCTCTCTCTCACACACACAACACACACATGCACTCAAGCATGCACACACACGTGCCCACACACAAACACACACACACAATAGGGTCCCAGAACTCCCGTGGGAAATTAGCTAACCTGACTTTGGGTATGTGCAGGAGTGCAGTGGCTAGGTTTGCTGCCTGTGAATCTGATGGTCATATGCACACATTTCCATATAAGCAGTCATAATTTAAAGAACTGACTGGACTCCTAGGTAAACTCTGCCTACCACAGGTACCTGGAAGAAATGTGACTGGTGTTGGCTTCTCCCATCTCATGCAGATGCTCTCTCGACTTGGAAAGAAACATCAGTCCTATCTACGTTGGCCAGACCCCTGATTGCGGACCTGTTTCTAGGAGGATTGCGGAAAGGTGTAGACAGGTCTTGCCCAGTTCGAATCTTGGTCCTGGTGCTCCTCTACGAGTGGTTCTGCACCTATACATCCCGGTGGAAAACTACAATAGCAAAAATGAAAATAATAATTATCATCATGGCTGAGGAGAAGCTAATAGTGCGCAGCTGGTGGGTTATTCAGGAGACCCAGATTTGAATCCTCAGTGACCGGGAAGGTTAACCCGGTAAAAAAAAAAAAAAAATGCCTGTTGAAGTCGGATGTTTCTGCCGAAAGGTGCATATATCACAGTTATGCTGTAAACAGGCACAATTACGTCACTCAGATTTTTTTTTAAAGTACAATCTTTAATAATTCTAAAAATACTCGAGTTTCTACGATTATTAGCGTTATCCTGTTTTTCTGTCATATCTCGAGGTTTCCACCTCACATTATTCCCTAGGGAATCCCCGTGTGAAAATACCAACTTCACAGTCTTGGACAGCTAACCAGGGCAACACATGCTTGAATAAGTTGGCCTTGTCTGTAAAACATATCGCAGCTGTGTTGTATGCTGCCAGAACACAGTTGCACCCTCAGATTAACGCAGAAGAAGGAGAAAAACATGAAAAAGAATTTTCACTTAAGTGATGGAAGTTTGAAAGGGGGGGGGGGGTAACAGCAATCTTGTTTTGGCTGCCCCGAATCCTCCCAGCTAAAGACTCCCCATCCTACTCCTCAGAAGTGAAAATAATGAAGACAGTTATTTTTGAAATCATGATCATCATTTTTTAACAAACAAGAGCAGATACAGTGCAGACCCCTTGGGGCGATCTCTGATGTGGTAAATTTCTGTTGTGAAGATCAGTGTATTTATCCCTGACAATTTTTCTTTATTGAACTCTTATTTGGATAAGAGGCATTTCTTATAAGAAGAACCATTTCTTGGGTGGCCAGTGAGTTCTCATCAGGTCTGCACCGCATTCTATATTAAACACAGTATTCACCTTTGCAAAGAAATATATTTAAGGGTACACAGTGTTGGTTTGTGAAATAATCCTTTTGTTTTAAAACAACCAGTAATATGTGCCTTCCATATTTCAGAAAGATTTTGATGCTCGGAAGCATGATTCCCTGGACCCTCAGACATTTCTGACATCCATGGCCTCAACCTTTGTCCTCATTACACAGCTGATTGTGGAGTTTGCTAAAGGCATGCCAGGTTTCCTCACTTTATCCAAAAATGACCAGATTACTTTACTCAAGGTTAGTTACGTACACTTAGTAATCTTTTTGTTTTTCTACTGTTGTAACTGCTACTACAGCTAAATTTAAAAAAAAAATTATCATTTAAAAGAAAGACTAAGCAAGGCTTCAATGAAGAAAGAAATAATAGTCAATTCTAAAAAATGTTACTGTTGTTCTTTTTCTTCTTCTTCTTTTTTCCTTCTTCCCTTTCTTCTTCTCCTCCTCCTCTTATTCTTCTCTTCCTACTGCTCTGCCTCCTCCTCCTTCTTCTTCTTCTTCTTCTTCTTCTTCTTCTTCTTCTTCTTCTTCTTCTTCTTCTTCTTCTTCTTCTTCTTCTTCTTCTTCTTCTTCTTCTTCTTCCCCCTTTCTTCTTCTTCTTCTTCTTCTTTTGCTTCTTTTTCTCCTGCTTCTTTTTCTTCTTCATTTTCTTCTTTTTGTTCCTCCTCTTCTTCCTTCTTCTTCTTCATCTTCTTCCTTCTATTTTTTCTTCTGCTTCTTCTTTTTCTCCTTTTTCTTTTACTTCCTTTTCTTCTTCTTCTTCCTCTTCTTCTTTGTCTCCTTCTTCTTCTTTTTCCTCTTCTCCTTCTTTTCTTCTTCTTATTAATATTTTTATTATATTATCGTTATCTGTTTTATGTAATAAATGTATGTGTATTTACCACAGTTAGATTAATCGTTTTAACATTGTATTGGAATGATACCTTTAGATACTGTCTACCATTTTCCCATCCTCAATAGCCACTAAAGCCTGATCTTTACTTTCTTTACTTTTACTTCAAGAGTCATGCTCTGCTAAAACCACACACAATGGTTAAGTGTTGAAATGTTGCCATTTACTCATTCACTAAAATGTCTGACACTGGACCATACATTCACACCTCCTCTGTTTCAGTCATCATCCACTGAAGTCATGTCTATACGGGCAGCTAGATGTTACGATATAGAATCCAGATCCATTGTGTTTGGTAATGGACAACCATGCACTGTTGATAACATGAAAGCCGCAGGGCAGGGCCGATACTGTGAGCTTTTGTATGAGTTCTGCCACAACATGGCTTCCTATAAGACAGACAATGCAGAGTATGCCATGTTTACAGCAATTTGCATTTTCTCAGGTTTGTACATTTCCCATTTCCCCTTAATAGTGACACCTTTTACTGTTTTGTCATCAAGCAGTTTGTATTTTTTGCTGTTTGGCTGCCATCTTTTACATTTGTATGTACTTATGCTTTCATAAAAGTTTGCAGATTAGGTTAGTCAAGATCCTGTAGGGAATTAATGAGTACAAACTACAGTGTAGGCTGCTTACCTCTTTGAGTCCCAGGGGGTTTCACATCAGAGGCCCAAGGGGTGGTAATGTAATTTTTTAAATGTCACAAGTGTAAGATCTCAGATGTGGCGAATTTTTGTTGTGAGGAACAATTTGTTTATCCCTAGCAATTTTTTTGCTTGAGCTTTTATCCTGATAAGAAGAACTATTTCTTGGGTCCCTGGTGAGTTCTCCTTATCAAGTCTGCACTATATAAATATGCAGTACTTCACAAAGATGCTTGTAGAATTCTCTGCTTTCTACCTCTTATTCATCTTCTTCCTCTACCAGTTACATCTTCAAAGTATTGGAAATGGGGGGGGGGGGGGGGGGGGGGGGTCTGTTAGGATCTTTTGTGTGCTTTTTCTGGGCTTTCTTTAAGTCTTCATTACTTTAAGGTTGTTCTTAATGCTGTCATTCCATGTATTGTGAAGTCTTCCCCTCGCTCTGTGTTCATTATATTTTTTTCAGGATGGCTCTGTGTGGCACTTGGTACTACTATGCGCACGAAAACTTATCTCACATTTATGCACATTTTAGAATGCTTGTTAACACATATTTTAAATAACTTGGAATTCTCTGTAATATGAGTAATAGTGTTCCTAGAAAAGGGGTAACAGTCTTATGTGACATTTGCTGTTGCAGATCCTGTGTTAGGTGGCAGGCATAACACATACACCACAAATTTATTGTTGTTGTCCTGACATAATTCTCATACACTCAACAACAACAAAATACATAAAACACTACAAGCAATAGAATATTTATAGCAAGCAAAACATTTATGTTCCTATGTTTGTTTAAGTCAGTGTGAAATCACCATCCCCACAGTAATTGCCAAATAATAACTTGTTGGTAATTATAAAGCAACAGTTTTTTTAATAGTTTCCCATGCTATAAAAACAAATCTAAAGACCCAGCAGCGTGGCAGAACCTGACAGAACATGCCAGGTATAATGCTGACATATTAGTGTTGACTAACCTAATTAATGAATAACCCAGATGCTTTGAAAGAGGTGGGGACCCAAAGATGGGCTTAGAGATCAGAAGGAGACAATCATCAGTTTTTGGCCATGCTATCTTCCTCTTCTTCGTTCACCAGCAGTGAATTCCGACGGAAGGTCACGGTATATTGTCCGTTTGGACTTTTTGCTTTTACCTTGACCTGGGTTTTGCGTGTACAACCGTGTTACTGGCTTTTGTTGTTGCCTGCCTCGCGGGCACATGTACTTCGACTACAAGGGAAGACCATGTTATAAGACGTGGGAAACTGGAACACGTGGTGATCACTGTAAAGATTTATGGAAAGAGACAGAGAAAAAGCAGCACAAGAAGATTCTTGAAACATTTTTTTTTTTTTCTTAGCATAGAGAGGGTTGTCAGCACATAAAATGTTGCACGCTACTGGAGATCACAAGCTGTGGAGAGGCATGATCACCCAGGCCAGTTGGCATGGCGCTTGATGATGATAATTAATGTTTGCATTGTTAATGTTTGTTCAAAATCGTCATCATAGACCATTGTCAGAACAGTTCTAAAGGGATGTTTGATGAAAAGAGTATCAGCTTCATTGCACTTGATATTATCCCATACGGCTCTGTCTCTCTTCGCTAAATGGCTATTTGCCTGCCAATAGCATCACGCAAAGCACACAGCTCCATAGCTCCAGTGAAGACCACTAGGGATCTCCAAAATTGAACCCACAGCCTTCAGAGCAGGAGTCCAACTGCTTAACCATATTGCCAGAGAGACCCCCTGAGATATCACTTTCGATATTTAGTGGTCACTGAAGCATCATTTTTATACCAGGGTATACAAGGAAGTGAATAAATTGTTAGGCTGGTAGATAGGGTTGCTGTAGAGGGTGGACGAGCAGTGGATTAGGGCTGGTAGATGGGGTTGCTGTAGAGGGTGGACGAACAGTGGATTAGGGCTGTTAGATAGGGTTGCTGTAGAGGGTGGACGAACAGTGGATTAGGGCTGCTGTAGAGGGTGGACGAGCAGTGGGTTAGGGCTGGTAGATAGGGTTGCTGTAGAGGGTGGACGAGCAGTGGGTTAGGGCTGGTAGATAGGGTTGCTGTAGAGGGTGGACGAGCAGTGGGTTAGTGCTGGTAGATAGGGCTGCTGTAGAGGGTGGACGAGCAGTGGGTTAGTGCTGGTAGATAGGGTTGCTGTAGAGGGTGGACGAGCAGTGGATTAGGGCTGGTAGATAGGGTTGCTGTAGAGGGTGGACGAGCAGTGGGTTAGGGCTGGTAGATAGGGTTGCTGTAGAGGGTGGATGAGCAGTGGGTTAGGGCTGCTGTAGAGGGTGAACGAACAGTGGGTTAGATCTGGCAAGTAAGGGCTGCTTTAGAGGGTGGACAAGCAGTGAATTAGGGCTGGTAGATAGGGCTGCTGTAGAGAGTGGACGAGCAATGGATTAGGCTGCTTGCTATACTGAATCATCTGCTAGTAAAATATTAGCTAGAATCAAGTGATAACTCTGAATTTGCAACCATGGTCAGACTGCAAGAACAGCAAATTAAAAGGTGTGAGGCCCGATGAGTACTTGAGGCCAAACAAGAAGAATAAACCAACACAGACTGGTGTTGTATGCTCCTACATGCTAAAGAATTTTTTCAGGAAGAAGCCCGAGCACTGATGGTTTGACTGCTTTAATGTGCAGTGAGAATGATATGTCCCCTAACTAACTTAAGCTTGCTTTGTCACTTGTTAAAATGTGTTGTCCGGAATTAATATACATTGTATATTATTCTCACAGAGCGCCCTGGCCTACAGGCTAAAGATGAGGTGGAGAGGATTCAAAGTAAATATGTGGAGGTGCTGCAGGCATATGAGTATGCAAAACGAGGTCGTGGAGGAAGTGCCTTGGCTCGTCTCTTGTCACGGCTAACAGACTTACGGACCATCAGCGTGGAACATTCTAAAGTTCTCGTCGAACTTGACTTAAATAAGAATGGACCTGATGTTCCGGCCATCATAAGGGATATCCTTCTGCTTCCCCCTGAGGGAAACTAGTAACACCTTCTTGTTAACTTTTTAAAACATCTTTTAAGGAGAGTTTGATGCCTGCACACACATATATCCTGGCATAATGCTATGTACATAGTGGTAGACCAAAGAGAAACATTGTGGTGTAATTGTGAACAGTTCTGTTTATGTGGTATGAAGCAGCACATACATAGTGTTCTTACCTCAGTGTTTGTTCCATTTTTCCATACTTACCTTTCTTGATCAGTAAATCACCAGATGATAAACTCACTGTGGTTCTATTTCAGACAAGTGGAAGAACATTACAGGAAAAATTTCTGGTGATGTTCCATGATAGGATATTCTGTGTGTAATTTATAGAAGAAACTGTAAATATTTAGAAAGGCTAACAGTGCATGTGGCACATTGATAGAATACCCAGAGTGCAGTAATGTCAGTCATGAAAATATAACATAACGTCTGATACAGTGCAAGGCATTTTATGTTATTTTAAAAAGATAGTACAGGAAACTAATAGAAGTGAGAGATTTGTGGTGATTATATAACTTCCCGCTTGTGCCAGTGGCTGTGGGTGGAGGGGCACATGTATGGAAGATAGTAGCATCATCTTGAGACAAGGAAATGTAACCTGAAAACTTAATGTTGTGGTTGGTAAACCAGGCCCTTAGCCTTGGGTGGCAGTTGGCCTAGGAGGGAAACTTTGAAAGGCGGACCACTGCGCTTTTGATCTGGCCGCTTCTGCAGCAGGTTTTGTTTTCAAACATACTGGTGTGGTGGAACCTTTCCTCTGGGAGTTAACAAAGAAGTCAGAGAGAGGGATCATACTGCATGGTCACCACATGTTCTCTGTGTGATATCCCCCATGCTGGGTGCCATGGAGGGGGAAGAACTTTATCCATAGCCTTAGTTGTATCACCATGGACCGTTTTTACCATGCCTTCCGGAAGCACAATGGAACACTATCATCCGTAAAAATAGAAAGGTGCCAAAAACAGTGTGCATTATTAAAATAACTGTTAACATGCATTTTTATGTGGATAAGTTAACAGCAACTAAAACTAATTGTGAAAAATATGAGAAAGTGACAGAACCAGAGTTCTACTATGAAAAATGGGATGTGTGTAAAAACAACTGGCAGATAACAAATGTCATCCCTGGTGCATCTGCTTGTTTTCTGCAACATCTGTGATGATTCTTCAGCTGGTTAGTTTGAGACCAGTCATCAAATACTCACCCTTAAATAATGGTCCAAGTGAAAGATAAATGACAAGACTGCTGGTGTCTGACATGGTTAAGGCTAGGTCCTGACTTTACAAACTTTCTATGAGTAGAATGCTAAAACTCTGCAGAAACTTTTAGCATATGTATCTTTCTCTGTTTACATATAAAGATATGATGCTTGTATATATGATCTGGTTGTAATAAAGGAAGTTTCTTCTTTGTGTTCACCAGCTGTAAACTCCTACAGAAATTTCTGGTTGTTCCTCCACTTCTCGATTTTGGTCTTGTTCCAGAACCTGTGTTTTGCATGAGCATTCATTTTACAGATCTGGCTTATTTGCAGGCAGACTGTTGGTTCCTTGCCTCTCAGGCAGGTGCATTCCGATTTTAATTAGTCGCTTTGTTCTATGTGCCTGTGAATCTATCTTCCCCTCCCCCTCCCCATAGCGCGACCCTGGTACCCGCACATCGTGTGCAATGAAAGATATACTTCACAAAACTAATCAGGCATGAAGAAGGAAGAAGATATATTACTACACTGTCTTGTTTTCCTGTATATTTTAATTTGAGAAGCAGGAGTGGCATTGCAGACTTCAGCCTTTATTTCCTTTCACAAATTAAGCAAAGAAACATACTGAAGATAGGTGGTTTTTACCTCATTCAGTGCCTGAAGGTGTTCACAACAGAACCCATTATGCATCGTGTGATTCTGGGATGGAAAGAGTTACTCATTTATTGGTGGTTTCTTCTACACCAAATTATGTACAAAGACAACAAATAACTGTGATGCCATATAATACAAGGCATATACTAGAAGAGGTTAAACATGAGGTAGACCAAGAACAAGATGGAAAAATAACATCAGAAAAACTTTACAGTAGTGCCGAAGCCTGGTAAAGACCACACAACAGTTAGGGGCTACCGTGTAATTACAATGCAGAATACAATTGGCAAGCTGTTGAAAAGATAGTTGCAAAGAAAATATCATGCCATCTTGAGCAGTTAGGCCTCCTTCCAACCAAGGATATCGTCTAAACAAAGAGTCCTGGGAGAATGCAGCATATGATTTTCATGAGGGATTCCACTCAAGGATGAAAAATTGTGCTGCTGCAATTGATCTCGAGGATGCTGACAACAAGGTAACATTTGACTTATTCATTGGTGATCTTCTTCTTGTCAATTCACCACACGTTGAGGGATATACTGAAGATGAGATCCAAGCATGTATGAACTTGTCCCATGTGCAATGAGGATAATCTGCCAAATAATTAACTAACTAATTAACAGTGTGTCCTAGGTGACATGGCATAGAGAGCCAGAAGCAGCAGCTTATATCGTCTTTGATACCTGAAGTGGTTTACAACAAGAAAAAGGAAGTGAAAAAACGGAAGAAGCAGAGAATTGTTCTCTGCTTCTTCAAGTGCCATACAATACCTGCTAATTTTATTTCTCATGCTAATTTATTGGACTTGAGAATTCTCCCGATATTGGCAGTTTAATTGCAGCCATTTAATAGGAACAAATCACAGACTGTATGAATTCAGTCACGTAGTGATTTGGTTTCAGTGATTCTTTTTTTATAGTGAGTGAATTATTTGACTCTAAACATTGAATCATTAATTAACATTGTCGGTGTAAGTGTAATATATTCATTGATTCATTAGTGTTTGCACTCACATTTAACATATTATGATTGTTCATGTACAAAGTACTGACTCATGTTGCTTCATTTACACTACTACCTGATTCATATTGCTTCATTCATTTACACATCTACCTGATTTGGATTGCTTCCTTTACAAGACTAGCTGATTCAGATTGATTCAGTGACACAACTGCTTGGTTTAGATTGCTTTCTTTACATTACTGCTAGATTTAGATTGCTTCATTTACACTAATAACTGATTCATATACAACCTAAGTCAATTCATTGACATTGTGATTTCATCAACTTCATTTCATTGCTTTTGTAAAATACATTTCTGTTTTGAATGAATTAATTTATACTTGTCAGGTGAATACTTTTATTATGTCCTCATTTGTTCATTAACTCTTTCGGTACCGTGCAGCTGGTATGTTTATTGGTTGTTTCAAATCATGCATTTATAATGCATATTTGCTACATGAACTTATTATTTTGAATTGTTAGTTTTACTTTATTTGCCCCATAATGTTGTTTTTTCTTCTTCTTCTCCTCTTCTTCTTCTTCTTCTTCTTCGTCTTCTTCTTCTTCTTCTTCTTCTGTGTTTATCTGCTGTTAAAAAAAAAAATTAACACATAGTTATCCGATTGTATGCTTCTGTTAGTTTGTAAACTATAGTTTTTTTTACTAGGGTAGTAAAAAGCAGACTTAACTGTTGTTTATAGTGTCCGATTGACAGGTTGGCCTGAATTGTGAGCATTTTTTAAATTTTTACAACGCAGTGGTCAGTTGTGTTTATGACCTGTCTTTTTTGTGTTTAGCCTAACTCATGATGTGCACAGAGAAAGCAACAAATACATTCGGTGTGAACATTGTTCACTGAAAACGCTATTGAAACCCTATATAAAATTAATTCTGCACCAAAAAATGTATGGAACATTGCTTTTGGCTGACCGCAAGTCAAAGTCAGGTTGCTCAGGCATCTAAATGTGTATCGGAGTACCATCAATCAGCTTTGGCACCAGTTCCAAGCTCCTGGCTCAATTAAAGACAGCCATCCCAATGGACAACACAGTGACAACAACAGCAGATGATCGCTTCATTCTGCTTATTCGCATTAACAATAGATTTTTCAACAGCTTCCTCAACTGCCAGTCATTGCTTCTAGGACGTCATGTCTCTGATCAAACTGTTTGTATTAGACTGCATGACAGACTTACTGAGGACCTGTCCTTATGCTCTGCAGCCACCATAATCAACTTCTTGATTGAGCTTAGATAGCTACGTCACATGGTAGTGAAGGTGCACTGTTATAGGAAATGATCATTTACAGTGGACGAAGTCGCTTGGTGCACATTGATGGACACTTTATTGCGCAGAGACACATCAGTTAAATTCTCTGATTCCATGTCCTTCCATTTTGAGATGCCTGTTTTTCAAAAGGACAATGCCAAACCCAGTTCTGCACACAGTCTCTATCAACATCATTCTTACCCAGGTCAACTCTGTGTCTACAGACATGAGTTTGACTGAGCACATTTGAGATGAGCTGCATAGATATGTTTGTCACTGTGATTTTGCTCCAGCCAGTCCTCGTGATCTGTTTCACGCACTCCAGGGAAAGTGGGCAACCATTCCCACAGGCCCACATTAGATGTCTAACTGCATTCATGCCCAGGAGATTCCAGTTGCTGATTGATACCAGAGGGGGCAACACACCATACTGATGGAAAAGCCTTGCGCTACAAAACTGTTAGCGAACTAGAGGCAACAGAAGTGTAAATTCATTCGCTGAACCCTAGGGTATTCTAATGTGCAATTTGAAGAATTTCGCTCATTAAATTACAAAGATCTAGAATGTCAAAGTTATTACTATGTATGTTCCTTTCAATAGCTAAGTGTTACTTTTTTTGTTTTTTGTTGTTGAACAGTTGGCACATTGTTTTGTGGTTTACAGCTAGACTGTAATATCTGAACCTGCAGGGGTAAAGGTAATCACGCACTGGTACCGAAAGAGTTAAAAAGTTCTACAGTGTTACTTAGTATGCCTCACCCAGTGATCAGCAAACGGATCTTTCATGTTATCTTTTCAATGTTATAATTTATCCTGAACAGTGATGTCTCAGTAGAAGGTTATCTAACAATTGTATTGAAGTAATTGTAA